TAAACTAGACTGAATCAATGATTTTATTTGACTGCCATCAATTGCTCCTTCTCACTGTAATAGTCTTTTTTGACTGCCACTGCACATTCGGTGGATGTTTTCAGAGAACTATCCACAGTATCTCCAAGATCTTTCTTTAGTGGTAACAGTAATTTAACCCCATCATTTTTATGTATAGATGGGATTATGTTTTCCAATGTGCATTACTCTGCAAATATCAACACTGAATTTCATCTGCCATTTTGTTGCCCAGTCACCCAGCTTTGTGAGGTCCCTTGGTAACTTTTTGCAGTCTGCTTTGGACTTACCGTATATACTCATTCATAAACCGAATATTTTTGGTAAAAGAGTGACTCATCAAAGAGCAGGTGTCGGCTTATAAACGGGTCTATACCAAAATTTGATGATTTTAAACTCTATGGAATCATTTAATTGAATATCTAATACATTGTTGTTTTGTTTACCTGGAGCGTCTGCAGGCATGGAGCCCCTCAGCTCCCAGTGGCTGCGGTTCGCCGTTCCCAGCCAATGGGAGCTGAGGGACTCCATGCCTGTGAATGCTCCAGGTAAACAAAACATCCCAACCTGCCAGAGGCTTACCCTGATGGGCCGGGAGGGAGTTTTCCAACCCCTGAGATATAGGGTCGGCTTATGAAAAGGTCATACAGTTTTTGCTATTTTTACCTATCCATTTTGGGGGGTTGGCTTATAAACGAATGGGCTAATGAACGAGTAGGTACGGTAATTATTTTGAGTAATTTTGAATTGTCTGCAAATTTTGCTACCTCACTGTTTACCCCTTTTTCCAGATCATTTATGAATATGTTGAACAGCACTGGCCCCAGTACAGTTCCCTGGGGGACACCACTATTTTACCTCTCTCCATTCTGAAAACTGACCATTTATACCTACCCTTTGTTTTTAATCTTTTAACCAGTTACTGATCCATGAGAGGATCTTCCCTCTTATCCAATGACTGCTTTGTTTGCTTAAGAGCCTTTGGTGAGGGATCTTGTCAAAAGCTTTCTGAAAGTCTAAGTACATTATATCCATTGGGTCCTGTGGCACCTTTGAGACTAACAGAAGTACTGGGAGCATAAGCTTTCGTGGGTAAGAACCTCACTTCTTCAGATGCAAGTCAGATTTTTACAGATTCAGACTAACACGGCTACCCCTCTGATATATCCATTGGATCACCTTTGTCCACATGTTTGTTGACATGTCCTCAAAGAATTCTTATGGATTGGTGAGGCAGGATTTCTCTTTACAAAAGCCGTATTGGCTCTTCTCCAACAAATTGTGTTGATCTATGTGTCTGATAATTCATCTTGTGCTTTATCTGTGAGGTTATTGATCCATAAGCATTCAAGATCATTTTCTTCTGAGTTATCAGTGACTCTGAGACAGGTAAAGCCATATTTGATGTAGAGTTCCATTCCCTCTCCTATTTTGCCCACTCAGTCCTTCCTAAATCGGTTATAACTATTGAAGTTAACATTCCAGTTATTTGAATCATCCCACCAGGTTTCAGCAATACCAGTTGGATCAAATTTATGTTCAGAAATGAGCAATTCCAAGTTTTAGTTACTTGAACTCCTACTATTAATGCATAGGCAATTCAAGCATTTTTTCTCTGCATGCCGTGGGTTTCTTGATTAATTTTGTTCCCAACATCTTGATTTTGTGCCTGCTGATTGCTCATATCTTCTCTCGTTTAGCCTTCTCCTGTTGAACAGGCCTGTGACACATTTTGATTCAATTCTGCAGATATATTTGTTCATGTGTTCCAGCTGCATAAGGAATGTTAAATGAACTGAGCAATCAGTGGGGCTAGCTGCTATGATTGGCAGGATTCATACACAGGTCATTCATTCTGGCACCTCGTGTAGTGCCAAGTTAAAGGCTGATCATGTTGGAATTAGCTATCATTTTGTGAGCATTAACTGATAACTCAGTACTGTCAGTTGAGAGCCACAATTTAATTTTGTGATGGCTGCATTTTTGACATGCTTGTGCTAAAGTATAATTTAAAAAAAAGTTGATTGTTTTAAACATTTTCTTGACTATATATCTACATAATTGTTCTAAGTTTGTCGTGTTTGGTACCATTGTATTTGTGGGAAAAAAAGGGCTTTCAAAGGATACCCAATTCTACCCGTTTCTGATGACATTGTACTAGCAAAATTTCCACCAGTCGGAGGACTTGGAGCTGGAGAGTAGCAAATCTTCCCTGTCATGATACACAGGGTGACACCACTGAAATGATGATTCTGTAGATTTTTATGAATCAAATGACACCACCTTTATCTTTCTGTCATTAACTTGCCCATAGAATTATTCATGATCTCAGACTGAATTGCCTGTGCCTAGGAGTTGGAGCTTCCTGTGCGTCTGGTGCCAATGGCCCTCTCTCTCTCACATGTTTATCACTTACGATCTTGTAAATGTTAGTGTAAATAAAGTAGTGTTAGTAGATCGCTTACTAGTTTTAATTATTCTTGGGATGGGACTTTCCTTTGATATTTTTATCAAAGCCTCCAGCATTAGCTTTGAAATGCAGAAGTCCTTGGCCTTCAAGCATTGTCCTTCCTTCAGGGCTGTTATGCCACAAGTGAGCGATGCTTACATCAGATGCCTCATATTCTTGGGAGAGGGGCATGTGAGAGAGAAATGTAGCAACTGCAAGTCATTCAAGAAGAGGATACAGAAATAACAGGAGGTGTGTTTGAGGGACTACTTTATTGAACAATCAATGCATCCAGCCCCTGATCTAGTCCATACAGAAGTTGGCAGAGCTGAGTATATACTGACTAGAAGTGCCCCTGAAGCTCTGCATCTGCTTCCCCTGATAAGGATTCAAAGACTCCTAGATTGCATGAGGAGAAGAGATGTCACCTTCGCTAGGATCTTCTCACAAGGTTCCAAAGACTGTTTGTTCTTTGGAACAAAAACTTGAATCAAGACCCAAGAAGGGCAACTCAAGCACTTGAGACTCGGGTCATCGTCATTCCTCGCACACATCATCTCCTGAGTCCTACGGTACCAAGGTCAGAGTGAGAACTATGGCTCAACTCCCCCTGCTACTGTCTGAAGTGAGACATGACCTACCGGTGCCGTTGATCTCAGTGCTGACAGTCAGTGCTGTTTAGACCAATACCTGCAGCAAAGTTACTTATTCTATCACCGTGAAATTCCTTTAATTCTCATCCCTCCCGCCTCACAAATAGGCCCATTTCCACTGAGTTTGCTTTTGCTTAAGATAGACAGATAGCAGCGGGAGCTAGAGAATAAGATGGCCATCTAGAATGCCAGAAGAACAATGCAGCAGCCATGGCCCAGGGAGCCAGGAATATGAACCAGTGAAGCCAGTTTTAAGTTCCTTTTTCCCTGGCTTACATGCTGGGGAGGGAGGTTCTGAGCCAGACTGCCTGGGCAACATTGCAGTAGACAAAGGAGAGGAAGGAACTGGATATCAGAGACAATATTGGGAAAGATACACCATGATGGAGTGAATCTGAGAAGGGAAAAAAGATCTAACCAAAATAAAATATGAGTAGTAAGTTAAATTGTAATCTGTTAAATAGATAGTTGATTGACAGTTTGTCACAGGTAAATACAGTAGATGGCTATTTATTGCTTTGAATTACAGAGGGAGTGGCTTGGAGGGGAAAAAGAAACAAGTATTTTTCACTCTTGCTATTAGTTTTAGTCTTTAGGCTAGAAAGCATTGGGTAAGTTTTTCCAGCTATGTTAATAAATGCTTATATTGTGTTTTTTAGAGAAAAGCACATTTTAGACACCAGATAAATAGTTACCTGTATAACATCTTTCTAAAATAGTGTTTTGTAATGGCTAAACATCATGTCATGATACCTTCAATATTTTACGCTTTAATTTGATACACTTCTTTAAAATTTACTACTAGACAGATTACATGCTGATGTCACTATCATTTGACACCAGTTAAAGTTGTCATCTTTGTACCAGGTTGTTGGTTGTTTCACCCATCATGGCATATGTGCATTTACAAAAGGATGTTTGAGAGTGAAAACAAAACTTTGACAAGGGAAGGTGTTGCTCAATTTCTGGAGATTTATGAAACAAAACGTCTTCCAAATTCACCAGGATTTTCAGAGGTAAGAGCATTCCCCTAACCAACCTCCCTCCCAACTATTTTCCAGGATAAATAGATATTTTAATCTGAAACATTTCCTAAATTGATTACTTAAATCATGAGTTGTTGGTAGACAAATTCTATAAAACCATATCAAATTTAGCTATGTCAATAGTAATGACATTATTTAGAAGTGATCTCAGGGTTAAGATTATGTTGGTCAAAGAAAGAGTGCCTATTGCAGTGTTCCTTGTCATTTAGCCACAAATCCTTATTTCAGGGACCAGTGCAGTCTAACCTCAATTAGTTGAATCCCAGTTAACTGGGACTTTTTTTTTTTATATGAAGGTTGGATATGATCTCTTTCTCCCTGAGGGTTGCTGATGTTCCAGTTCTGTAGAGTTCCTCAGCTTTTTCAGAACTGGAGCTGTTGAGCACCTCAGTTCAGCAGAACCATCCGGCCACAAAGGAGATTACTGAGGAAGTTTTGAAGTCCACGCTCAGCGTTTCACTACTCTAAGGACAGACTTTGAAGCCTGATGGTTATCCCCCCTTATTGTGGGAAGGTTCCGATATCCCTAGAGACTGTTGAATAATCTTCTTCTTCTTCTTTTTTTTTTTACTGTATCTCTTATAATAAATTATTTAAAAAGTCTGTCTTACTATATAATAAAGAAATATTATAGGTGTTAAAACTACACTCTGTTTTACTGTTGTAATAACATATTGCATTTGCATAGATTTAGTAGTTAGCTTACATCTCACAGGGTATAAATGATCTATTCTGTACTCTGTCCAGCCCCACTTCCAAGAAATAGCTTGCAGGTAGCTCAAAAGCCAAAATTTCTGTTTTATACAATTATGGTCAATCTCTCATTAAAGTGACACCAACTTGATTTATAGACAGCTTAAAAAAAAGGTTAAAAATAGCTACAATTACAATATATCCCTGAGGACTCCTGTCAGTGTTATGGTTCTAATTTTTTTTCTTCTTTTGTAAAAAATAATTTTCTTCCTTTTTGTTTTATGAAAAACAGACCCAAATGGAAAATAGATTGTAGTAGAGGAACTGACTATACACCAAGTGCTGTCAAATGTACAAAGCGAAAAATGTTTTTTTTCTTTTTCAGTTATAGTACTCTTAAAGGTTACTTATGAATAGTGTCCTCCCAAATTCATGGTCCATTTTGGCCAATTTCACTGTCATAGGATTTTAAAAATAATAAACGTCATGGTTTCAGATATTTAAATCTGAAATGTCACGGTATTGTAACCATGGGGGTCCCAACCCAAAAGGGGGTTGTGTGTGTGTCGGTCGCAAGGCTATGGTAGGGGTCTCGTGGTATTGCCACCCTTACTTCTGTGCTGCTGCCTTAAGAGCTGGGCAGACAGAGGGCAGCTGCTGGCCAGGCGTCCCGCTGTAAAGGCAGCGTCACCGCCAGCAGCAGCGCAGAAGTAAAGGACTGCTGCTGGTGGCAGTGCTGCCTGCAGAGCTGGGCTCTCAGCCAGCAACCGCTGCTCTCCAGCCTCCCAACTCTGTGAAATCTGGTCTCCCCTACAATAGCCAGATTTCACGGGGGAGATCAGATTTCACAGCCCGTGATGCATTTTTCATGGCCGTGAATTTGGTAGGGCCCTACTTATGAACAGTAGTGGGGAACAGGTGGTTTTTTTTTTATTGAAGTTGACTGTTTCTACTTAACATTTTTACTAGTGATCAGTGAAGACACATTCTCTTCCTCCTTTCAACTTCCATGTGCAACTAATATTCATGCCTTTCTTGTTCCTCGAATCAGGTTATATCCTCTCCTCAGTAGCCCAACTTCTATACCAAATAGGCAAACCACCGCTCTTTTAGTGTTGTTGTTCTAGCAAAAATGACTGACAGTACAAAGCTCATTGCTTAATCCCCTGCTGCTGTAGGTTAGTAATAAGACTCTCTCATTAGTAGGAACCCTTCCTCTATCTTGTTTATCACAAGTAAAATAAATCTAGTTAGTGCGTGTATGAAATTTAATGATTGGTTTTAATGTAAATTTAATTTTTCTCTCTCCAGTTTATTATTGGACCATTAATGGATGCACTTTCAGAAAGTTCTCTCTATGGCAGGTAAACCATTGATTATTTAGCTTAGTAATTATTGAGCAATGGACGGTTACATTTGATGGGCGATATCAGTTGATATCACTTTAAACATGTCAGTCAAGCATTTGACATAATTTTGTAGACTTTTGTAAACTTTCAAAGGGCCTTTGACAAAAAGATGCTAAAGAAACTTACTTTGTCATGGGTGAGAGGCAAAAAATTGTCATGGATCAAAAACTGGCTAAGACAGGAACAAAGCGTATGAATAAATAGTCAGTTTTCATCCTATGCAGAAGTTTAATAGTGGGATGCCTCAAGGTTCTTTATTAAGTCTGATATTGTTTACTGTATTTATTAATGGTCTGGAAAGGGGGATGAGCAAGCAGTCAGGTAGCAAAATTTACAGAAGACAGAAAGTTATTTAGCTTAATCAAATCTAGAGAAGGCCTGGAGGAAATGCAGACGGAATGGACCCATCTAGATGAATGGGCAACATGTCAAGTGAAATTCAGTGTTCATAAATGCGAAGTGATACACACTCAAGGGGAAAAAAATAATTAACGATACATCTCATAGGGTTCTAAACGAACTGTATTAACTCAGGGAAAAAAAGTTGGCATGACTGTGGACAGCTCAGTGAAGACTTTGGCTTGGTGTATAGCTGTGGTCTAAAAAGTAAACAGTGTTGGAATGCATAAGGAACAAATGGGGAATAATATGAAAAACCATAATACCGTTATATAAATAACTGGTACATCCTCATTGGGAATAAGGGTGGTCAGAACTACACACTATCTCAGAAAGGATACAGCAGAAGTCTAGGTTTCAGAGAGGGCGATAAAAAGGGCATTGAAAAATTCTAATGTGAAGAGAGATTGAAAAGATTGGGGTTGTTTATTTTAGAAAGGAGAAATATAAGCATGGACATGATAAAAGTAGTGAAGATAGGGAGCTTCTGTTCTCTGTGTCTCATAGCACAATGAAGTCAAAAGGTGGCAAATTCAAAACTGATAAAATTTCTATGTAACTAGATTTTGGAATGTTTTGTTACAGGATATCTTGGAGGGTAAGAATCTATTGTGACCTCTTTTGTTCAATGTGTGTATGAGGCTGCTAGAATGGATGGTGAGGAGAAATGGGTAGTGCACTCGGTATGCAGATGATATCCAGCTCTAGGTTTCAATCACATCCTACCCAGCCAGAACAGCGGAATTAATTATCCAATGCCCTAGATGAACCTGGAGTTTGGATAAGTATTAGTTGACTCAAACCAGAATAGACATAGGATGTCTACACTAGAAACGTTACAGTGGCACAGCTTCCGTTGGCCTACCTGTGTCTACGCTGGGACTTAATTACAGCTTAATTACATAGTACAGGGTATGAAATTTTTCACAGCCCTAAGCAATGTAGTTAAGCCACCCTAACTCCATAGTGCAGACTAGCTCTGAGATAGCGTTTGTGGGTTGGGGAGAGCAGCTGGAAGAGTTGGTAGAACTTACATCTGTGCCCCTCATAAAGAGCATGCAGCCACCATTTGTGTGTGTATATAAAAAAAAAAAAAATTTAGTTTGGGGGTAGCATTGGATCCTGGGCTGCTCCTGGATGCCCAGGCTGAGGCCAAGAGTATTTTTCTGCACCTGGCAAGAAGAGTGTGACCGTTTCTCTCTTCTGTGGCCCTTGCCACTAAAATCTATGCCTCTGTCACTTCAAGATTAGATTGCTGTAATGTGTCATACATGGGGCTGTATTGGGAATATTCAGAAGATGAAGGTAGTGCAAAATGGTGTAGCCTGCTTATTAAGTGGAGTTGCATGTTGGGAGCACGTTATCTCCATAATCTCCACTGACTTTCAGTATGTTTCTGGGTAGAATTCAAAGTGTTGTTTTTAACCCATAAAGTCTAAATGGTTTGGAACCTGATTACCCGAGAGCTTGCCTCTTCTTACGATATTCTGCCACAGCTGAGCTCGACAGAGGCATTCTATCTGGATCTCCCTCAATATAAATAAGAGGGAACTGCTGGCAGTGCTTTCTATGTGAAAGATCCTCAGTTTTGGAACTTGCTTCCCCCTCCCCCCTTGGTCTGCCAGAGGTAAGATTTGTTTGCCTTCTGAGCACTCTGCAAAACCCATCTTGTTCCCCTCTTTGTCAAGGCTGTTCAGGGTGAGGGTTGAGCTGAAAATATTTATGGACAGTCCTTTGTCTGTATTTTTCTTAGCGAGATGAGATGGATGAGGTAATATCTTTTATGGTCTCTCTCACCAACAGAAGTTGGTCCAATAAAAGATATTACTTCACCCACCTTGTCTCTCTAATATCCTGGGATCAACATGGCTACAACAACAGTGTATATTTTTCTTGTAATTTTTAACATGTGGGATAGGCACTCGGAGCACTGGATGAGTGGATATAGGCATATTTTAAAAAGGTAGAGAAATAGACAGAGATTGGACATTTATATGGATACCAAGAATATCCAGAATTATAAATAGCTAATGCTGATACCTTTTGAAAAGGATATAAAACTTCATGTTTCAGGTCTTAAGATGATTAAGATGAAACCTTCATTGCGATTACATTGTCCCACATCTGGTACTGCAGGGTTTCTTGCATCTTTCTGGGAATCATCTGATGCTGTCAGAGAGAGGAGACTGGACTAGATGGACCACAGTTATGATTCAGCATGGCAATTGCTGTATTTCGGTTTCAATATTTACATTTTCAATACCCTTAAAGTATCAAAAGCACTTAAAAAAACCCAAACAATTCTTCATATTGAAACACTTTACTTTGGCTGTTTGCATTCTAATGAGTTAGACAATTAGGTAATGTTTTTGATTAATTTGTTTTATAAGAGGCTTTGACGTCCCTCCTTATAAAGTGCATATTGTTAATTTTATGTTTTTAACCAAACAGGTCACCAGGCCAGTTGATAGGAGCTTGTCCTCCTTTAGGGGTGAAGTTACAGAAGTTTTTGTCTATTTACCTCACACTTCTTCCAGAAGAAGAAAGAAGTACGTTTTAATTAATTTTTTTCTTTCGAAAGATAAGGGAAGTAAGGGTCATGGATCCATTTCCAGTATCTAATGTACATGTTTACCAGTGTGTTCTCTCCCTGCTAGTGTACTGCACGAGTCATAGACTGAATCTCCTTAGTCTGTCTGTCTATGGTTTTTAAAATGTTTTCATACAAAAATTTCTTCTTCTTTGAGTATGTGTCAGTGTGGATCCCACTGTAGGTACCCGTGTGCCCAGTGCACATGAGACCTCAAATTTTTGAGCAGGTGTATCTGTTGGAACTGTGCATGTGCCCTGTGCTTCCTTGTACTCCCATGTGAGGGCATCAAAGGAAGAACAGTTGCAATGTCTCTTCAGTTCTCTTTTATTATCTGTGCCAGCAAGACAGAGCCGGAAGAGTGTCTAACTTGCTAGTTTGTAGCTCAGACTAACTTCTTCAGAACCATTTCTTATCTCCTGTTTTCAACTGCCATGATCTGAGCTGACCCGCCTGGACCAAATTTTGCTGGTCAGACCCTATATGCCCCTTCTCTGTACACTTTCCCCCCCCCCCCCCAACAGGGTTCATCAACATCAGGGCCGGCTCCAGGCACCAGCCCAGCAAGCAGGTGCTTGGGGCGGCCAACGGAGAGGGGCGGCACGTCTGGCTCTTCGGCGGCGGGTCCCTCGGTCCCTCTCAGAGCAAAGGGCCTGCCGCCGAAGACTGAAGCGGCGGGTAGAGCTGATCACGATCGCTTTTTTTCCCCCCCCCCGCTGCTTGGAGCTGCAAAAACTCTGGAGCCGGCTCTGATCAGCATGTTGTTGCACTTGAAACCTGCAGGCTTCAAGCCCTGTCCATCCTGCAATGGACTATTCCCTCTGAAGGATGGATACAGTAGGTATCTCTGTTCTCTGGGCGAATTGCACATTCTAAACAGATGATCAATATGGGTGTGCAAGTCGCACAAGACAAGGCTGAAATTCCACCTTTTGGAACAGTTCATAAATGAAACAAGTTCCAAAATCCTACTAATGAACAAACCAGTGTTATCAAGTGACCCATTGAGCAGAAAGCATCGCTTAAGACTGGGGCAAAAAAGACAGTGCCAAGGAAAGACGCCGACCTCAACAAGAATGTCAAATCAGGCACCAACAACTCCCATGTTGAAGTCGGGCACCGAAAGGATCTGGGGGTAATAGTGGATCATAAATCGAATGTTCATCTACAATGTTATGCTGTTGCATAAAAGGCAAATGTCACTTTCTGATGTATTAAAAGGAGTGTCATATGTAAGAGATGGGAGGTAATTGTTCTGCTGTAATGGCACTGGTGAGGACTCAGCTAGATTAAAGATGTGGACAAATTGGAGAGAGTCCAGAGAAGAGCAACAAAAATAAGAGGATAAGAAAACATGACCTATGAGGAAAGGTTGAAAGAATTGGGCATGTTTACTCTTTAGAAGAGAAGTCTGTGGGAGGATGTAATGATCTTCAAATATATAAAAGTTTGTTATAAAGAGGATGGTGATCAATAGTTTTCCATGTCCATTGAGGGTAGGACAAGAAGTAATAGGCTTAGTCTGCAGCAAGAGAGATTTAGGTTAGATAATAGGATTTTTTTTTTAACTATAAGGGTAGTTGTGGAATCCTAATCACTGGAAATTTTTAGGAACTGGTTAGAAAAACATTTGTCATGGATGATCTAGGTATACTTAGGGTACATCTACACTAAAAACTTAAGTCAACCTATATTAGATAGACTTACAGCAACTGAAGTAATTACTGTGGTGGTTCACGTCCACACTACCCTCCTTTGATCAGTGGTGTGCGTCTTCACCAGGAGCGCTTCCACTGACCTAAGAGGGGCAGTGTAGGGAGCCGAGAGCCCAGTCTATCAGCTCTGCTCGCAGCTCCCTGCCAGGAGCCTGGCTGCTTCATGGGCTCTCAGCTCCCTGTTCCACACCAGCTCTTCCCGCTCCCTCCACCCCCCGACTCTCCGTTCTCTGCTGGGAGCACAGCTGCCTCCTGGGCTCCCGGCTGGCTGCTACCCCTGCTGGGAGATTCCACTCTTTCCAGTCGATGGCAAACAATGTGAAGTCAAACCCAACAATGATTATACATGTGTGTCTGGGGCTCTGAGGCCATATGTTAGTGTGTATGTATGCTGCTTGCCAGACTTCACCTGCAGCCCATGCAGCTATGTTAAGGTCCATGTATGCCCTGTCCAGATACCACAGGTACCAAAGGGTCACAGTAGCACCCTCAGCCCTGCTAGATACTATTTGAGGACTGAATCATAGAATATCAGGGTTGGACGGGACCTCAGGAGGTCATCTAGCCCAACCCCCTGCTCAAAGCAGGACCAATCCCCAACTAAATCATCCCAGCCAGGGCTTTGTCAAGCCTGACCTTAAAAACCTCTAAGGAAGGAGATTCCACCACCTCCCTAGGTAACCCATTCCAGTGCTTCACCACCCTCCTAGTGAAAAACTTTTTCCTAATATCCAACCTAAACCTCCCACACTGCAACTTGAGACCGTTACTCCTTATTCTGTCATCTGCTACCACCAAGAACAGTCTAGATCCATCCTCTTTGGAACCCTCTTTAGGTAGTTGAAAGCAGCTATCAAATCCCCCCTCATTCTTCTCTTCTGCAGACTAAATAATCCCAGTTCCCTCAGCCTCTCCTCATAAATCATGTGCTCCAGCCCCCTAATCATTTTTGTTGCCCTCTGCTGGACTTTCCAATTTTTTCACATCCTCCTTGTAGCGTGGGGCCCAAAACTGGGCACAGTATCTCAGATGAGGCCTCACCAATGCCGAATAGAGGGGAATGGACCCAGTGTGTCTATGTAAAAAAGGGGTCATTCCCTGTCCCCTCCCAACTACCACTGTTATCACAGATGCTTCAGGGACAGGTTGTGGGGCCTACCTGAACCAACTACAGCATATCAAGGAACATGCCACCAGAGCATAGCCTGCAGCTATTGCCTGCCTCAGAAATCTTCCAATCCCTTAAAACTGCAAGGCAGTAATGTGGAGTAACCCATTGACTTCCATGAAATATTATGCCTTTGACTTGTCAACCAGGGCAGACACCAAATTTGGAAGAGCAATAGTACTTCTTTGAGTGACTGCACATGTCCATTCCACTGTAGGTGAGTGCATGCTGGAGATTTTTTTCCCCTCAGCAGTACCTATTAGGGTGGCTTGAGCATCCAGTGCTGCTGTGTGCAGGTATAAAGGGTGGAGGTGCCCTTGGCCCCTCTCAGTTCCTTATTACCAACCATGATGGTTGTTGCAGTAGTAGGGCTGCAATCGTTCCAAATTCTTCTCTTGCTCTTTGTAAAATATACCCAGTTTTGCTTAGCATAGTTTCATAGAGTTTAGGGAATCTGTAGTTAAGATAATTAGCTAGTTATAAGTTTCAGATTTAGGTCTTAGACTGCTGGTTTCAGCTTTAGGTACTGGGAGCAGTACTGGAACTGTACCTCAATCTCCGGGATTAAATCATGTTGTTCATTCAGCAAACCAATGCCGGTGAGCGACCTGCACCCCAGCTGCCTTGATCACTTGGGGGAGTCCCATGTTAGTGACAAATGTCACATTTGCAAAGGTTATAAGCCTTGCTCAAAAAAGGAGAGAGCGGCCAAGCTTAAGTGTATTCTTGTGGAGGTGGCACTCATCCTCTCTTGGAGCCGTCAGTTTGGAATGGGCACTGGGCATGTCAATATTGGTCCACAGTGCTCCTCCTGTATTGTCTGAGTCCAGAGCTTGATCACTGTCATTGGTGCCATGGAAGAGGCATGAGACCTCCAGAGATTCAGTACCTCTGTAAGCAAGACACCAGAAGTAATTCTTCGGTTCTACTCCACGCTGATTAGGCCTCAAATGGAGTATTGTGTGCAGTTCTGGGCACCACATTTCAGGAAAGATGTGGACAAATTGGAGAAAGTCCAGAGAAGAGCAACAAACATTATTAAAGGTCTAGAAAACATGACCTATGAGGGAAGATTGAGAAAACTGGGTTTGTTTAAACTGGAGAAGAGAAGACTGAGGGGGGACATAATAGTTTTCAAGTACATAAAAGGTTGTTACAAGGAGGAGGGTGAAAAATTGTTCTCCTTAACCTCTGAGGATAGGGCAAGAAGCAATGGGCTTAAATTGCAGCAAGGGTGGTTTAGGTTGGGCATTAGGAAAAACTCCCTAACTGTCAGGGTGGTTAAGCCGTGGAATAAATTGCCTAGGGAGGTTGTGGAATCTCCATCATTGGAGATTTTTAAGATCAGGTTAGACAAACATCTATCAGGGATTGTCTAAATCAGTGGTTCTCAAACTTTTCTTTTTGCGGATCACTTGAAAATTGCTGACAGTCTTGGCAGACCACTTAATGATCTTTCCAAATGTTGTTTGTACCGTTAGCTAGCTATTGTAAAGCGCTTTGGATAAAAGCGTGCTCTCGCTCTCTCTAAACTTAATCATTAACCTTTTTTTGTTCTACAAATAAAAGCACACAACTCATATTTTAATATCAGTAGTCTTATCTTTCTAATGCGATGGATGTGCCCTCTCCCCCCCCGCCGCGGCAGCTCCCAAGCTGGGGCTGGGAAGGAGGGGGTGGGGGGTCTCTCCCCCGCCAAAGCAGCCACAGAGCTGAGGCTGGGAAGGAGGGCCCTGGGGGGTCTCTCCCCCGCCAAAGCAGCCACAGAGCTGAG